ATCGCGGATTGTGCTTAATGTGACGACCTACGGCAGCCACAATATCCATTCGATTATTTGTGTTTATTTGGATTGACAACAATATGGATTAGAATGTAATGATTTTAGATTGGAAATAATCCGCGAAAGCGATATTAAAACCGATTATAGTTCGTTCGGAATTAAAATCGATTACTTTTTAATCCGGGCGCGGATTGAACCGATTAAAACCGATTAAAACGGATTATGTTTTAATCGGTTTTAATCGATCATTTTCGGCAGGGTTAATACTAGAACAACCAATATTATTTTTCAGTCAACATATAAGATATGTTGACTGTATAACAAACTCCAATAATAATGCGATCTTTCACAGAAGAGTTTTTTATATTATAGAATAAAATAATTAAATTAAATTTTTCTAAAAATTTTTCTATTTCTTTCTTTTCTGTAAAAGATTGCAACTATTAAAGTTTATTATGTAACACATTTCATTTTGATCAAAAAGTAACATTGATTGGTCTTGTTAATGCAAACTTAAACTGTAAAAATGAGTGCATCCATCAATAGATATCGCGATATCGCGCAATATCGGGAATGGGAGATATATAGTTGGGCATCAGACTCACGAGAGGGCACTGAAAGTTGTATACGCAAAACGCTCTTATGCTCTTATGGGACCTTCCACTCTATCTAATCCTCTTTGCTGTGTATGTCATCCAAGAACCCATGATGCATTGCAAAAGGCGGCGAGAGCCAATAACAAGTCTATACTGCGTTCACGGAGAGAACGACCTCGCTCCGCGCAGCTTTGGGCGGAGTGGGGATTAAGTGAGAGACTTCAGCGCGCTACTTCAATGCCGTATGTCGTATGCGTATCGATCATGTATCACGTATGTGATCCGCCTATTAAGCTCGAAAGAAATGTTATAATATTGAAAGCTTGAGTTATTCTCTGTTAATCGAATTTTATTACTCTTTTTAATTAAATCGCGATATATCTATTATATTTATTTTCTCTTTTTGCAATCTAAAAATTAATAATAAAGTTTAATACTATTATAAATAAATAGGGTCCCCTCTGTCGGCTAGCCGGATCTGCAAGCTGCAAGATAAATTTTGGCAGCGTGAAGAGGGCAAAATGGGCGGTCGGTCGGGCGGGATCTGACCAAACCGGACGAAAAGCGAGGTCGTTCTCTCCGTGAACGCAGTATACCTTATTTGGAATCTCTTTTCAATATTTAGCATTTCTTTTCAATAGCGACTGCGCACACGTCGATTCTTTGCAATGCATTTTTGCAATGGGTTTCGGGATGCTCCTGACTTAACCTTCTTTTATATAACGTTAATCCATTCTATATTGTGTCTATGTTTTCTACATTGCCTATATATATATATATATATATAACATACTCTTGTATTATAAAGATATAATAAAAACTACTCGCCTTTAATTGTAATGTGTCTTATTACATATATCTAAGAACTTGTCCCACATTGCTAAAGTACCCAAGCTCTTTCATATTAGCAAAAAATATTTATTCAATGTCACTTCGTAGGATGAGCAAAATCTCGAAAATTTATAGATATGTTTTATACTAAAATATGATAACATATTAAGACAGTGACATATGAGAGGTTAGGATATCTCTCGTATGTACAGTAGGCAATGTAGAAAACTATTAGAATATCCTTATTATTTATATACAGATTTTTTGTTGCATACCTGTGTTTTTCATGCTGTCCGTAAACAATTAATAATTACACTGTATTCTTTCGCACTTAAAATTTCACGTATATGTCATGGCAGAGTCATACGAAATAACTCAAAACGACTCCCTCCCCCTCGCCGCTCCATCAGAGTGCATTCGTTTTTTTCGTTTTTCAAGGCAAATATGAGCCAACAGTTGTTTAATTAGTTTTTCCGTAACCAACAAACGATTGCGCATCGATTGAACTAAGTTTGAAACAAAAATAATATCTTTCCGGTTAACTTCACACAAAATTTTTTTTTCATATTTTCAAAAAAAATGTTAACCAACAAACGTTGTAATTAGGCCAACAATCACCAACAAACGACCAACAAACAATTCGTAAAAAAAAAAAATTATAAAAGTGAATGACCGGCTAACTTTATGGAGCTCGCTTCTCTCTGCAAAAAAATATTTTTGGGGGTATTTTGGGGGATTTTGACTGCTCTTTGGGGGGAAATTTTTATAATGGTTGGCAACACTGGCCTCTACTTAACTTTAACAGTACTTCATCAGTGATACTGTTAACTTGATACTAATTCAATTACGAAAGAAAGAAAATAATGAGCAGTAGTGAAATTATGGATAATGAAGAAATAGTACAATTGCGTAAGCTAAAAAGAGAACTTTTAAAAAAAGCGATTCAATTGAAAGACAAATTAAAGGATATAGAAGATAACAAACACCAACCGTTAATTAATTTCAATATGTAATTAATCAAGCGACGCGGTAGCGTCGCGACTCCAAGTATATATTAGAAATTCGTTCCATTAATTCTTTCTTGCACAAATTCTCTGATCAACAAACTTATCCATTCTGGATAATTGTAGCACACTACCTTCCGATAATGAGGATCACAAACCATCAAAACTGCAATCTATCAAATACAAGGCTAAATTATGTGAGATTGCAGGTCAAGTAACGGGAATAACATTTAAAGATGTTAATAAAAAATGGTTACGCAACAATATTTTTATTTATTCAGCTAAAGTGATAACAAAAACAATTTCTTTGAATCTTGAATTGACAGTTTTCATGGTACGAGAGAATTGTAAACTCAATACTCTAAAATTAATTTTATTAATGTTTGTCACATATTTTTAAACCTTTAACTTTTTTTTTCAGGATTTGGATGAATTTAAGATTGACAATATAATGTGCTATTTTACAGACATCGACGATTGTTATATGCTTGAAATATCTCCTTGGTTTGAGAAGATAACAAGTATAAAAAACTTTTCTCTTCTTATGTCTGGTAAATAATCACAATGATATAAACAACAATGATGTTATATTTAATTAGTTATACCAATTTTAATGCCATATAATGAGTCACTTCTCTTTCAGCACTTTCTGATTACAATGAAAATAACATTTTTAGATCTAAGATTTTGAATAGTTTAAAAACAAAGAAATATGCAAGTATACGACAATGTTTTCAAGAAGATGGAGGTATATTATTGCATATACACTCATCTACAAATACAAAAGAAAATTATGTAATATTCCGATGGACAATGAAATTTTTGGAAGTAACATGGCACATTGAACATTTTTTTACAGTAAAACCCACAGATAGAGGTAAAAAAATTGATACATTTTCTAATATAGGTAGAAATTACAATGGTATTTAAATAGATAACAAATATTTTTAATTTATTGATTTAGGAATAAAATTTTCCGAAGAAAATCGAATATTATTAAAAGAATTTTGCGAAATTAATTTGACAAAGGACAAACTTGTGGGACTATGGAATAGATTGTGCATTGCCATTGATAATTATGCTAAAGGCATAAATACATAAAAAAATTTATTTCTCCGAATTTAATATTCACAGAGAATATCCAATATTTTCATATGAATTAACAATTTCATCATTTATATAAAAAGATTAAAAGCACCTGAATAATATCAATATCAATAAATAAATAGTTTTATATATAAATATAAATATAAAAAAGTTTTCTTTCTTACCCTTTTATACAAATTCCTTAAAAATATTACAGTAAAGAACTTGCCAATTAGAAAAATACGATTTTTTATTCTTAAAATTTTTATTTATTAAAACTGATTTAAAAATAAATTATTAGATTTGTTTTAAATTTAATTGTGTTTAAATATATAATTTGTCTTTCATTTATTTTTTAAAATATTCAAACAGCAATGAAAACAAAAGAATATTTATAATAATGTTAAGTAAATTGTGCATGAAATTTGTTAAGAAGATATTCTTTTTAAAAATATATTAATATTCTTTTTTCTATATGATATGAGTGTACGCGAGCGCATACGCATTATACATATACAGGATATTATTTTTGTCCGAATAGGCAAATATCTCGAAAATTAAACATTATAGACATAAATGCAAACTGTGTAACTTGACTGTAACTATGACTGTATAAATGCATAAATCATATATATATATTGTACACTAATGGATCTACTATATAAGAGAAACAATAATACAACTCCCCAGTGGCGCAATCGGTTAGCGCACGGTACTTATAAGACAGTAGTTCAGTGAGCAATGCCGGGGTTGTGAGTTCGAGCCTCACCTGGGGAAAGTTTTTTTTTAATTATTTTGATTTATATAATATATTGTTCGTGATACTGTTATTAGTTATAATAAATAATAAAAAAAAAATATATATATATAAAGAGATAGACCGTAACAAATATATATCAAATTAAATGGTCCAAACTGAACTCTATTGTGAGCATAGTGGTTGCTTTCAAAAGCTATCTGTGTTAACGAACGAAAAGGTATGCATAATTTTTTTATTATTATGTGAATATTTTGATATGATAAAAGTTGTAGCGCTGTTTGAAACGAATACAACAATGTATTGTATAATGTAAGTATTTTACATATTTTACGAGTTTTATCGACTTTAAATATCGCGAGTGACGTCTACCTTTTCACTTTCTGCCCTGCGTTATGGCCAACTTCTGATTTGTGCATTAGAGATTGACATATGTTATATTGGCCGTGTTCCAAAATTCACTGCCAGTACTGGAAATCTATAATATACGTTACGTGAACTATAGATTTTCAGTACTGACAGTGAATTTTGGAATACAGCCATTGTTATATGATCATAATATTCAATCCGAAGTTGACCATATCGCAGGACCGAAAATGAAAAAGTAGACGTCACCCGCAATATTTGTTGATAAAACTCATAATATAAAAAATATTTACATTTTATCATACATCATTGTATTTCTTTCAAACAGCGCTACAACTTTTTTCATCTAAAAAAATTCATATTATTATAAAAAGAATATGCATACCTCTCCGTTCTTTAACACAGATAATTTTTGGAAGCAACCACTATGCTCACAATAGAGTTCAGTTTGGACCATTTAATTTGATATATATTTGTTACGGTCTATCTCTTTTCGTTTAAAAGATAAATGGGGTGGCCACTTTTGGAGGGACACCATGTATATATATATACATTTATTTATTTATTATTATATTGTCTCTCCCTTTGTATGTGTATATGTAAGGACTGTTATGCGGATGCATATATATATATATAT